CCCGTCAAAATCCCAGCAAAATTCTTCAAAGACTGAGAAAGAATTGTACTCAGCTTCATATGGAAAATCAAAAAACCCAGGATAGCAAAACAATCCTGAACAATAAAAGAACTTCTGGAGGCATCACAATCCCTGACTTCAAACTCTACTACAGAGAGCTACAGTAATGAAAACAGCCTGGTGTTGGCATAAGAACAGACAAGAGGACCAATGGAACTGAATAGAAGACCCAGATATCAATCCACACATCTCCAAACACCTGATCTTTGATAAAGCAAAAAAAAAAAATCAAATGGAAAAAAGAAAGCATATTTAACAAATTTTACTGGCATAACTGGATATCAACATGTAGAAGAATGAAAATAGATCCATATCTATCGCCATGCACAAAACTCAAGTCCTAAAGGATCAAAGACCTCAACATAAAGCCAGCTACACTGAACCTTATAGAAGAGAAAGTGGGAAGTGCACTTGAAGGCATTGGCACAGGGAACCACTTCCTAAATAGAACCCCAGCAGCACAGACACTCAGAGAAACAATTAATAAATGGGACCTCCTGAAACTGAAAAGCTACTGTAAAGCAAAGGACATGGTCAACAAGACAAATGACAGCCTACAGAATGGTAAAAGATCTTCACTAACCCCACATCAGACAGAGGTCTGATCCTCAAAATATACAAAGGACTCAAGAAATTGGACAGCAAAAGATCACATAATCCAATAAAAAATGGAGTACAGACCTAAACAGAGGACTCTCAAAAGAGGAATCTAAAATGGCTGAAAGACACTTAAGGAAATGTTCAACATCCTTAGTCATCAGAGAAATGTAAATCAAAAGAACTCTGAGATTCCATTTTATACCTATAAGAATGACCAAAATAAAAAACACTGATGATAACTTATGCTGGAGAGGTTGTGGGGAAAGAAGAAATACTTCTGCATTGCTAGTGGGAATGCAAGCTGGTACAACCCCTTTGAATGTCAGTGTGGCGATTTTTCAGAAAATTCGGAAACAACCTTCCTCAAGACTCAGTAATACCACTTTTGGGTATATACCCAAAGCATGCTCAATCGTGCCACAAGGACATGTGCTCAGCTATGTTCATAACAGTTTTGTTCGTCATAGCCAGAAACTGGAAACAACCTAAATGCCCCTCAAAGAATGAATAAGAACAATGTGGTATATTTACACAATGGAGTACTACACAGCAGAAAAAAATGACAGGTTGAATTTTGCAGGAAAATGGATGGAGCTAGAAAACATTATTTTGAGTGAGGTTACTCAGACACAGAAAGAAAATTATCACATGTATTTTTTAAACATAAAGCAAAGAAAGCCAGCTTACAAACCACAATCCTAGAGAACTTAGACAACAATGTGGACACTAAGAGAGACTTAAATAGATCTAATCTACATGGGAAGAAGAAAGTATAAAAAGACAAGATCTCCTGAGTAAATTTAGAGCATATGGACCTTGGGAAAGGGTTGAAGGGGGAGGGGAGAGGCAGGGAGGGGAGCAGAGAAAAATGTAGAGCTCAATAAATATCAAGAAAAATATTTAAAAAGACCAGAAATTATGCTGGTTTAATAAAATGGTTGAAGCAGGTTTTCTGAAATTCATAATCTTACTATCCTTATTCACTGGATAAATATCTAGCACCAGGGCCTATTTCCCTCCTGTTGCAGGCTTTAAATCTAACTATACAGTAATTGGTTACCAGGAAGACATGGATGACACTATTTCACCTTTATTGATCCCCTGCCAGGCTCATGGCTGTTTGGGTTCAGAGAGTTCTCAGTTAATTCCTTAGAGCTGGGAAGAGCTATCACGATGAAAATAACTTATGTAAGAAAACATCTCTTGGCACTCATGAGTTCATGAGTTAAGGCATATAATTATCGTGGTAGGCAGCATGGAAGGAGGTAGGCCTGGTCTGAAGTTTAGAAGGCAGAAACAGCTAATTTAGAACAGTGTCAGCACAGAAACATTGAGCCCAACACAGTTACTATCCCTCTCAAACTAGGCCACTTATAATTTTTCCCGACAGTTCCACAACTGTTAGTCAAGTATTCAAATACAGGAGCCTATGGGGGCCATTCTTATTCAAACCACAAAGAGTTAACATTTGAAGAGAGCTATGGACTTCTTCTCTCACTGAGGAACTTTCTCTGAAAGTTAGAATAAATGAATGTGGTTTAGTATTATATCGAGCTCAACAGTTTCATCCTTGATTCAAATTGTACAATGGTTTCTGTTAATATGACTCACATTCAGCATCAGAGAGATGACTAAAAGAAAGAGTATTTACCCTAAATTACTTAGGAAATTAAAGATTATCATGGACAACTCAAAGATTTCTTATGCCTGGTACTGGTGTTTCTTTTTATATATTAACGTGAGCTTCTTGGGTTTAAGAAGGGTCAAGCCAAGGGGTATAACTTCATTTTATATATATATATATATATATATATATTTATATATATTACATATATTATACATATATATCATATACATATATCATGCACATATATATGTGTATAAATTCATATAATCTTGTACTCACATCTGCATTATATATCATGATTATAATGTAGACAGTTTTTCTTTCCCATAAGCCCACTACCAAATAACCAAAGGGACTTACAAATTTCAAATTCTTGTCTTATACCTCAGGGTTATAAATAACTAGCTCTTACAATCCTATTAATTTATGTATTGCCATATGGTTCATAGCTTTCCCTGTCCTTCAGCATGTATCTCCTGGTGACTCTTTGACACCAACATTCTTCCCAGTGTCCCTAGCTTTGTTGTTCTCCCTATATAACCTACCTGGCTACTGAGCAATCAGGTTTTTACTAAACCAATCTGAGTGACAAATCATCACAGTGTACAGGAGGATTATTCCACAGCATCTATTATTTTATGTCTCATTAAAAAGGAAGATTATATACAGCAAAACCAGTTATTAGGCAAGAATTACATTTATGATGTAATTACAAATTACATTTGACAAAATTAGAGAATGAATTCAATTATTTATCTCTGAGAGTCTAAAGTTTTATATTTATTATAAGAAAAACTTTAATTCTAATTATTATTCTTTAACTCAAGTTAAGATCCCAGAAGGGTGAAATGTTGCCTAACACCAGGGACATCAGGCTCCCTGGACAATCATTCAAAGTTCTTCTGTAATGCTGGGACTAAATCTTTAGCCTATAGGCTAGTATATATGACAAAAAAATTTGCGAAGAAGGGCATTTTGAATGGCTGTCATATCTTGGGGAAATTTGGCAGTTGGTTTTATTTGTATCCTACTAATCCAGTCTGGACAGTATATTGCCAGCAATTGAGGTAAAGGCGGTATTTTTTTCCAAAGCTTTTGGCATAAAGAAAGTAAACTCCATACTCCTCTCTCTCATTCTCTTTCTCCCTCTGTTCATTAGGAAGTGAATATGTGATCATTAGAAGACAGCTTTAGAAACTGATACACTATTTCCACCATGTAAAATCTAGGGAGGCAATACAGATAATCACATTTACTGGGAAGAATCATGACTAGCTGATACATCTCATATTCCTAGCACATTCTTCTTCCATTACTCACAATAGGAGCGATTTTACCAACACAGCATTACAGAGATATTACTGGTATACATTCCACACACTGTACTTCTTTTCACTGTGAGATCACTATGGACTTCAGCAGTGATGTAAAACACAGAAATTCTGGAATGCACTACCATAAAGAACAAACACTTTTAAGCTTTATTCATTCTAAACACTTTAAACATTTTTCCACATTTATTCTATACACAAAGGTTCTCACAAGTAAAAAAGTTACTGAAAAGAGTAGGAACGGTGGTTGCTAAAAGATTTTCCACATGGTTATACACATAAAGTCTGTCTCCTGAGTGAATTATTTAGAACATCATGGCAACAGGAACTGCTGAAGCTTTGAACAATACTCAAATGGATATATGCTTTAGAATTCTTTCCAGTGTAAATCTATGCAAAAGGGTTACAGAAACTGGATGTGCTGAAGACTTTCCCATATTACAGACACTGTGTGAGAAATCTATGCTTGTTAAAATCACAAGAACAAAGAAATAGTTTATATATTTACATACAAAAGGTTTCTATCCAGTGTGAATGTTTCTACTCTTATACCAAGTCAATCTACTAAAGACTTTCTAACAATGGTTACATGCATTAGGCTGACTAGTGTGAAGAGTTTCAGGTCTGTTATAATCACAAGAGCAGCTGAAGGATTTCCCATAATTCTTATGTGCATAAGGCTTTAAGGTAACTATTTTATGCCTGTTAAAGTCTACAGAATGAACAGCTTCCAATCTTTTACATACAAAGGGTTTTTCTCCAGTGTAATGGTTTTTCATGCAAATCAGGACAAGCTGAAGCATTGAAACTTTTCCTGTGAAAACCTTCTTTCCTATTTGAACCCTTTCCTGGATGTTCAGCTGACTGGGGTAGGTAAATGCTTTTCCACAGTGCGTACATGCATAGCACTTCTCTTCAGTATGATCTCTTTCATGAACCTTACATGAATAGAAACTGGTGAAGGGCTTTACACAATGCTTACATGAATAAGGCTTCCCTAAAGTGTGACTTCATTCTTGTCTGTTATGACTACTTTTGGTCACTGAAGGCTTTTCTTGTATGTTTACATGCTCAAGACTTTTCTCCTGTGTGAATCTTTTCATGAATGTTCAGGTGATGGGGGCAGGTTAACACTTTTCCCACAATGCTTTAATGTATAGGACTTCTCTTTAATGTGAACTTGTTTCATGAGTCTTACAAGAACTGAAATTGGTAAAGGGTTTTTTTTTTTTTTGTTTGTTTGTTTTTTTTTTTACAATGCCTACATGAATAAGGTTTAACTGCAGTCTTCTTCTATGTCAGTAACAACTACTGGGGTTGTTGAATGATTTTCCAAAATGCTTATATACATAAGGCTTTTTTTTTTAGTGTGTGTTATTTCATAGATGTTCAGATGACAAAGCCAGAAAAAGGTTCTTCCACAATGTTTGCATGTATAAGTCTTCTGCTTCTCTGTTGTGTGTCTCCTTTCATGTCTGTTACACCCACTGGATTTGTTGAAGACTTTTTACAATGCTCATGCATAAGGTTTCTCTGCAGTGTGTCTCCTTTCATGTCTATCATGACTATTGGAACTGGTGAATGATTTCCCACAATGCTTACATGCATAAGGTTTCTCTCCAGTGTGAATTCTTTCATGAATATTTCGATAAGAAGAACTAGAAAAGTTTTTTCCACAATGCTTACATGCATAAGGTTTCTCTCCAGTGTGAATTCTTTCATGAATGTTTCGATGAGAAGAACGAGTGAATTTTTTTCCACAGTGTTTACAAGCATAAGGTTTCTCTGCACTGTGAATTCTTTCATGATCATTTCGATGACAAGAACGGGTGAAGGTTTTTCCACAATGCTTACAGGCATAAGGTTTCTCTGCAGTGTGGCTCCTTTCATGTCGTTTACGAAGACCGGGGTGGTTGAAGGCTTTTCCACAATGCTTACATGCATAAGGCTTTTTTCCAGTGTGAATTATTTTATGCATGTTCAGATTACTGGAAGAAGAAAAGGCTTTTCCACAATGCTTGCAGGTATAAGGTTTCTCTGCAGTGTGGCTCCTCTCATGTCTGTCATGACTACCAGAATTGGTGAATGCATTTTCACAATGCTTGCATGTATAAGGCTTCTCTCCAGTAGGAATTCTTTCATGAATGTTTCGATAAAAATTACTGGTAAAATTTTTTCCACAATGCTTGCAGGCATAATGCTTTTGTCCAATGCTTTTATGACTGTTATGATGACTGAATTCGGTGAAGACTTTTCCATAATGTATAGAAGCATCTGGCTTCTCTCCTGTGTGAGCTGCTTTATCTTTCTCAAAACATGTTACATATTTAAATGTTTTGTCACATTGACTACAAATGTACCTTTTCTGTTCAGTATGACTTTTTTCGTGGTTGGTAAGGTCACTGCAATCAATGACGGATTCTTCACAGAGACTACATACAAATTGTTTCACTTCATCATTGTGGCCATGTGTGTATCTCAGTAAGACATTCTCACTGAGTTTATCTACAGTATGAGTTCTCTCCTGAGGCTGATCAAAACAGAGACTACTACAGGCTTCATTACATTGTTGATTTTTACAGGGATTCTCTTTAGGAGAAGTTTCAAGTATCTGAAGTGATTCAGAATAACTGGTATCTTTCCAATGTTTCTGATGTGTAAAAGCTTTTGCCACAGCTCCCTTATACAGGGGTGTTTTCCCTGTAGTTTTTTCTCTGAGATACGCATGTAAGGATAAATTACCAATAATGTTTCTTATATGCAATGGAGTCTCATGAGCTCTTAATCTGGAAGGCATGTCTTTATTGATCATGCTGTCTGGAATAGCTTGCTGGTTTTTATTGCACTCAGTATGACATTCATATCCATGGTCATTCTCTATTCTCTGAAATCTGCAAAAAAAAAAAAAAAAAAAAAAAAAAAAGGAAAGAAAAGCAATACTGTAGCCGAAAGAAATATTGGAGGTTGGCCTGTGTGGAATACAATACTATTTCAGAGGGAATAAAATAATAGTATCAATATCAAGGACAATATGTATAGCATGGACAGACCCTACCATATGTCATATGTAAAGAAGTAGACTACTGACTTTACTTCTCTAAGAATTATGAAGGAGCTGTGTCATGCGCTTGGAGGTTAACAACAATTCTCTATCTTTGAGCAAACCAGATTTAACAACAAAGATTCATGTGAAGAGCTCACAGTTCTGATACACTTGATATGAAGGATGTCTTGCATTTTCTGTGTTCCACAAATGTTTTTGGCAAAGGTGTTGTACAAAAACATAACTCAGAAACACAGATACATAAAATAATTAAGAAGTATAAAATAAGTGGACAGGAAGGAAAAAGTCCTGGTGTTTGTAGACAAAATAACAAGCGTATGAAGTGGACAAACACTCTGGCATGTCAGCATTCTAAATACTTACCCAGTGTGGGTTAGCTAGTTACCAACTACACCCATCTGTGGTCATAGGTGGATAGGTACCGTCAATTGAAAAATGACTAAATCAGATTGGTCTGGAAACAAAACCTGTGGGAGCATTTTCACACTCCTGATTAAGGAGGACTTACTACTGTGTTGGAAAGTGTGCCAATGGGAGGAGATCAGGCTCTATGTATGAAACATATCTGCTAGTTTGTTTAGATCTATTTGATACAAACTCCAACCCACATTTGGGAAGGAATTAGACACCAGAAAATGGCTTTATCAGACTGACATTTAGACATTTCTCTGGCAGCTTTGTCTTGATCACTGTATAAGGTGGAGTGGCCCAGTTCACTGCGAGTGGCATCCCCCTAGAGATGCGGTCCAAGATTGAATAAGGCAGGTAGCTGGTTGACAGATGAAGATCACTCCAGTAAACAGGATTTCTCCATCACTTCTGCTCAGTGACTGCTTCAAAATTCCTGTCATGCTTGAGTTCCTGACCTGTCTTTTTATTATGAAGGGACTGTGACAAGGAAGTGTAAAACTGTCCTCCACCCAAGAGTTCTTTTTTTTTGGTCACAGCAAAAGGAAGCAAACAGCACAGTACTGATGCTCAAAGTCTCATAAGTATAAGCAGAAAGTAAAACCCTTTGCATGTGAATGGATGTTTTGTGTAATAAACTAGTGAAAACCCTTTTCCCGGGCTCAGTCTCACGTGACATATTTGCCATATTAATAGATTACACGCATGAAATACACAAATATTGAATGTCACAATTCAATGCTCCATTAATGAAATTTGTGTAGAATCATTTTTCACTTAGGTATATTTGGAGCACTTGGCATGTTCTCAGTAGTCCCTAGAGTCCCAAATGTATAATATAAATAATTTTCTACTAAACATAATAAATTACCCCATATTCCTGCTGACATCTTTAGAGTCCTCTTCAATATTTTCTTCTAGTGCTTTTTCTAGAACAAAATCCAGAGAATACATCATGACCCATTCATATTCAACATAAAAATTATTACAATCTAATTCTTATGATATGGGTATACACAATAAATTCACCCCATTTTTCACTTCAGGAATTCAATACCAGCATGCCATGCATAAGCAGGACATGTTGCATGGAGCTAGCCACTTGTACATCCCCGTCGCCAGTCCAGGCCTCACCGCCTACCTAAGTTCTGGCCTTGGTCAATAGGCCAAGGCAGTTTCTTTACTTAGTAATGGTAATCACAGCACACAAAGGGGAACCCCACATCAAGGACACAGTTGTTCACTGACTGAATAAGCAATGGGAGCATGTAGTACTTTTTACCTATGGAGATCAGGTTCAAAAATGTTTCCTTCATCACATCTCTGTAGAGCTTCTTCTGACTAGAATCCAACACAGCCCACTCTTCTGAGGTGAAGTTCACTGCCACATCCTCAAATTTTACTGGCTCCTATTAGTACATATATCAATTAGGATGGTTAATTTTCACTGACAGGATACATATTCATCTTGCATGCGTTTCATAAGAAACCTCTGAATTATTATATCAATAGGATTTACTGAAGAATACCATGAGATGCCATCTTGATTACTTGATGACCCACTGTCTCATTTACTATTTATTAGTGTGTCACTCACTAGCAGCTTCACACTTCTGAATTTTATGAACTGGACTCTTCAACTGTGATATGAAATAAACTGCTTCTGCCTTAAGTCACTTTTCTCATAATAATCTGTGACAGCCAGAAGAAAAGCCTGTTATAAAGAATAGCAAAACAGGAAATCCAAGCAGAGATAGAGGAGGAAAGAAGGCAGAATCAGGGAGGTGCCATGAAGCTGCTGAAGGAGAAAGATGCCAAAACTTTTCCAGAAAGCCACAGCTTCATGACAATACATAGATTACTAGAAATGGATTAATTTAAAATGTAGAGTTAGCTAATAGGAAGACCGAGCTAATCAACCAAAGAGTACATAACTAACATTAAACCTCAGAGTTGTTATTTCTCAAGCAGCTGTAGGAACTTGTAAGCAGGTCTGGTAGGTGGAGAGAAACTGTTCTGGGCGACAGGAGAAACGGAGAATATTTGTAGCTACATAATGGTAGCCAATGTTTGTCCACATACATCTACATAAAGCCAAAGAAAGCTTTAATAGAGGGCTTTTAGACCCACAAAAACAGGAGTCAAATGGAGCTTTTTGGTAGGCACATTTTTTTTTTCACAGAGCCTCTGCTTCTTTATGACACAAAATCCTGGATCATGCATGGATCAGTAATGGCTCTAGCTCTTTCGGGAGGTCCTGGTGAGGAGCATTTATGGGGTTTGTGAGACGCTTGCAGCAAGTGCTTGCTGGAGGTGTGGTGGTGAACATGGTTTGCAGAGCTAGTGGTAAATTTGCCTCCACTATATTGAAAGGCTGAGAGAGGGGAGTCAGCATCCAGGGCTTCAGCAACTATACTCCTTACCATAAAAGAAAACAAAACAATACAAAACACTCCTGCTGTGGGAGCTCCTCCAGCCTTTAAGACACCAGTAGACATGGGCGTGGTCTCTTATACTATAAATGCAGCTGTAAAGCCTGTGCTTGCTCTCCTGCTTCCAGCTATTGCTTCTAGCTGCCAGACTCTGTACCTGTGTCCCATTTATGCAGAGAACTGTGATATCGGACAATGATCTGTAAGTCTCCCCTAAATAAATAACCCTTTATTATTCAGAATTCTGAACTAGTGTGGGATTATTTTGTGACTTCCACCAACAAATGACACCAAACACAGGCCAAGTGCATCAACAGAAAACCTGAGAGAGCTTGGGAATAGAGTTAAGCATGGCTTCTTAATAGCAGCAATTTCTCCAGTGGGCTCTGTTTGATAGAAGCAAATGTGTCTGATTTAAGAGAGGCCTCCTGACTCAGCTTTATTCTGAACATTTTGCAGCACTTTTAAGAGGTTCTGCCAGGAAACACTTAAATGGTGTTGATTAAAAGGTGACCACATGCTTTCTGGTGGTGTCAGGGACCTTGAAATGTCATAGAGTTATGGCAAATAAACATGACTCAGGCTGGTACTTCCTCCATGAGGCTGGAATCTCAGAAAGCTAAAGAATGGGCTGGTTCTAGCTGTTAATGCCAGGGCTTAACTGTTACCCATATCACTTAATAAATTAGAGACTCATGTAATCAGAAAAAGAGAGATATATAGTAAAGATAGATTCAAAGATGAAGAAAACCTCTAAATGGTTTACTCTGCGTTTAAAACTATATGTGCCATGCCATCAAAAAGGAGGCATGGGACTCCAGTATTCACTTCCTGGAGATACCAGGAGACAGTGGACAAATACAAAGGTTAAATTACTAAGCTCTGATAATGGAGGTAGTAAAAGCATGGCAGTCAGTATCTGACGACTTTTACCTTGATATAGTGTGAAAAGTTGTCTGCTTCCTAAATTCTGAGCCTAAGAACCAATTAATTCTAATTTATTAACCTTCTAGTATTACTAGAAGTCCCTTTTCTGACTAATTGCTTTTGTCTGTTTGTTTGTTTTTCTTTTCTTTTCTTTTTTTTTTTTTTTTTTTTTTTGAGACAAGGTTTCTTTGTAGCTTTGGTGCCTGTCCCGGAACTAGCTCTTGTAGCTCTTGTAGACCAGGTTGGGATCAGCCTGCCTCTGCCTCCAGAGTGCTGGGATTAAAGGAGTGCGCCACCACAGCCCGGCTTTTGACTAACTGCTAAAGACATCTGTTTTCTTGCATTTAGTGCTTTCTCTGTAATCTCCTCTGAAACATACTTCATGGTAGCTGCCTAGTTTCCAATTGACGTTAAAACTCACTCCCCTCTTTAGGGTCTCCCTTGACTAACTCAGGGCAAGGTTGTAAAAATTCATTTGTCCAGACCTAATGTTTGGTGCCCTTAGTACAACGGTAGATTCTGAAACTGCTCTATGCACAGTGTCAGAAGCCTGAACTGTCTGTGGTCTCAGCTAGCTGATAAGCTTTTTGCCCTGTGTTGTTTTATTTTTTATTTGTAAGTTTGCTCCTGGTTTTCCTGGAATCTGGTTTCTGGAATAAAGTTTGCTTCAGGTTTACATTCTCATCTTTGCAGGACCACACTGGACCCAACAACTGGAACCTGTAGACCTGACTGTACCATGAGGATCAACCATCTGATGAATCCACTGACACCTGGAAGATTGATCACCAGATACACTGCTACAGCTACAACTGAGGAAACGATGGGGAGACAGGGTAAGAGCACACTCCACAACGCAAAGAGCATCACGACACAAACAAAAACTAGTGGCTATCAAACAGCAAGACCTGAACACCCATATATAGATGTAGAAGGAGAAATTGACCTAAATAATAAATTTAGGAGAATGTTTGAGGCCCCTAAAGAAAAAATGAAATATTCCCTCAAAGAAATGGAGGAAAAGACAAGCAAAAATCACAAGAAATCCAAAAATCCCTTAAGGAAAACCAAGAAAAAGCAATCAAACTAGTGAAAGAAACAATGCAAGACTTAAAAATCTAAATGGAAACAATAAAGAAAGCACAAACCAAGTGAATTCTGGAAATAAAGAATATGAGAAAACGATCAGCAACCAGAAATACATGCACAAACAGAATACAAGAGATGGAAGAAAGAATTTCAAGTGCTGAGAATACAAAAGAGGAAATAGATTTATTGGTCAAAGAAAACATTAAATGTAACAAAAACTTAACACAAAATACCCAGGAAATATGGGGTGGCATAAAAAACAGACTTCAGAATAACAGAGATAGGAGAAGTCCAACTCAAAAGCACAGAAAATTTTTTCAACAAAATCATAAAAGGAAACTTTGGCAACCTAAAGAAAGATATGCATAAGAAGACACAAGACGCTTGCAGAACACCAAACAGACTGGATCAAAAAAGAAAAGTCCCTACCTCACATAATATTCAGAACACTAAACAGAATAAAGTCTTTACTCCCAGAATGCCTGAGGCAGAGGAAGGTGAGCTCTGAGTTCAAGGCTAGGCTGGTCAACACAAAGAGTTCCAGGATTACAGCATGAAACCCTGTCCTCAAAAAACAAACCAATAAAACAAGGAAAGAAATAATGAATTAAAACTAAAATGAAAGTCAATATAACTACACACATAAGAATAATAAATACAACATAAATATAATCCACACTCAAGTTAACTTTCAAATAAAAACATTTTTTCATTACTTAGAAAGCACAATTATCTTTCTCTCAGATGAACATTCTAAAGATTCCCGACTGGACAGAAATTACATTCTCTGCAAAAATCAACTCTGTGGGGTTAACAGAACGAGAGGAAATATTAGTACTTTTCGCAGGTACTGCAACACTGTAAATGACTTGTTTATAGAATTGACACTCCCAACCCCTTCTGTTTAAAACAGCCTACAACGAAGAAGCAGCTACAGAAATGCAATGCCAATTTGATTCCACTCTGGACCACTGTCCATAGCATTTGACATACTAAAAATTTTGAAAATTCTATTTTGGGTCTCACTGCAAACAAGTAAAATGTGAAGCAGATTTAAATGTCTCCCTTTCTTCAGACCCGTAAACTTGAAAACAAAGAAAAGAAAAAAATCTCCTACAATATTGTTTTTAAAAGGCAGGGAGAAGGTGGGGAGGGAAATGAAAAAAACATAGAGGATTTCTGTAGGAGCCAGCCATGATAAGCTAAATATGAACAGATACCCTAAAGGAACGTCTTTCCTTCCAACCATTATCACCTGCCAGAGTTGGGCTCAGCCACTGTTAAGTTTAACGGGGCCTGAGTCTCTGGAGTTACTGGTTACAGGATTGACACTCCCAATCCCTTCTCTCTATATCAGCCCACTTCCAAACAAGCAGCAGCAACAAAAATACCAAGCCACGCATTTTTGTTTTGTTTTTTGTTTGTTTTTTTCAGACAGGGTTTCTCTGTGGCTTTGGTGCCTGTTCTACAACTAGCTCTTGTAGACCAGGTTGTCCTAGAATTCACAGAGATCTGCCTGTCTCTGCCTCCCTAGTGCTGGGATTAAAGGCTTGTGCCACCACTGCCCGGCTTCATGAAACTCTTAAACAGTCCCGCCGACCTTCCCGCATTCTGCAGATTTCCAAAATTCTAATTGGAGCCTCAAAAAAAAAAAAAAAATGATGCAAACAAATAAAACATGAAGCAAATTTAAATTTCTCTGACTTCAGACTGATAATTTTCAAAAACTGAAGTCAGAAGAACAAGAAAAAAAATCTCCGACAATATCATCAGAAAAAAAAAAGAAACATGCAAAATCTATGCCGGATATGGTGATAGGGAGTTAGACACAGCTTTATGGCAAACTTCATTCACAAGGGGAGGCACGGGGATCAATTCTGAGGCAGAGTAGGGAGGTGGGTGAAGGAGAGAGGAAAGAACTCCAGTGTGATACCCGAAAACCTAAATCAGCCCAAACCCAG